AGGTAAAGCTGTAAAGATGTCTCTGCATTGGATCGGTGTGTCCTCTGTTGTTGATCTCCTGGATTGAGTCTCGATCTGTCTCACCTCATGCTCATTATTGATCTCTCCACTGTCTCCCTCTGTGATGTAGAGCTCTGTGTAGATCTCATTCAGCAGTGTTGGGGATTTAATTCTCCCTGTTCCCTCATACAGACACTGAAACTTCTTCAGCAGATTTGATCTGAATGTCCGGAGGGGTTTGCGATGGCTGTAAGATTAAAATAAAATGTTTTCAATGTTGCGTGTGATATCTGATGACAAATCATTTGTTTAAAGAGATGATCTCTTAGTTTACTGAGTTTATGCAATTCAGTATAATAATATGGTACAAACATTTTTATATTTCCATATTTTTATAATATCAGCAACATTTTTAACAATTGTAAACAAAGGAATAAAACAGCAGCAGGTCTGGGTAAAGCTTGAAATGGATGTTTTTCAGCAGCTCAAAGAGAAGTATAAATTAAATGTAATCCGGCACATATTGAGCTCAAATTAAACAACAGAAAACTTGACATGCACCTCAGACAGCAGAATCCTAAGACCAGAAATTCAAGCTAGACAGAACTGAATGATCCAGTCACTGTGCTTTAAAATGCAGCTCACATAAACACAGAAAACTCAAAGAACCAACAAGCCCAAACCAACACAATACTAAAACAAAAAATAAAATAAAACACAGAGGAGGTCTATAGTTAGTTGAACACACATGTATTTTGCTGCTGTAAAGTTTAATACACATTCAAATACAGTTTAATTGTACTTAAATAAAATTATAATAAAAAGCACATTATTGTTTTCACATTTAATGCCAAACCAGTTTTTTTACAAAGGTTTTTGATATGAAAGCCAGAGCAAAAATGGCCTTTACTAGCAACACCACACAGTTTACAGTCAATTTAAACACTGGGTTATTTTCTAAGTTGAGTCTGTTTAATTATGTAGATTTGCATCACACCTCCACTCAGATTCAAATACAGTTCCCTTCTTTTTATATGGGCAAACATTGAATTATCCAAAACTGCTGACCAAACCCAGGATTACATTTAAAAAAGACTCAGACACCAGCAGTGCCATAATAGTACATTATGATCAACTAAAAAGCTTGTTTAGTCAAGTGAGATCAGCCAGTGTAAATGTGCAGTCCTACACTCATCTCAGAATGAAGGTTTCTACAGCGACTGGAGCTTTTTGCTTATGACAAAAAGGTAAAGAGTGAGCGTTTAGTGTGAACCCATCATTATAACAAGCTGATATAAGCTGATAAAAGCATAAATGTTAAAGCAGGCAAGTAACAGCTATTTAACATTTATACATGTATTTATTTGTTACTTTCATTTATTTTAATGAAATAAAGAGACAATTATTCAGCAATCTCACAAGGAGGAATAACATGTATAGTCATAAATATACTTATATAGTCTTACAGTTATATAACCAACCCTTGTGAAGCCATAATGCTGAAGTGGCTCTCTGTGAAAATTATTTTGACCCTCCTGATCTAAATCTTTGTTTATCTTTGATTTTATTTACACTAACGCAGCTAAAATACATCAAATATAAAACTGAACTGAGCATTTTGCACAGTAGTGACTAGTTTAGCTTCAGAATGAAAGAAAACCGACATTTATTTCTGATATTACAGTCCCCTGAAGGGTTTGGTCTGTACATTATAGATGAACATAACAAAGGAATATAAATCGACACATTCCTCACCACTGTAGTATTATTTCAGGTGACTAAACTATTACATTCACACAGAGATTTTTATGTGTTTTTCAGTTCTGCTAAACCACTTGTTATTTTGTTGTTTGCATCTGAGTGTGTTTTATGTAAATGTTCCTGTGTTTTATTGTTTTCTGCACTGGTTTCTTGATGGTTACCGTTTGTCTGTTTGTTTCATCTACTGTATTAAACCTAACTCCATGGTGGAAAGAGTGCTGAAAAATCTTACTCAAATAAATGTACTATTACTTCCCCAAAAATGTAGTGCAAGTAGAGTAAAAGTATCTGTTGTAAATATTATTACAAGTATGAGTAAAAAGAAGCCCAACTAAATGCAGGTGACTAAATAACTACATTATTATGGAGATTTTTGTGGTCTTCTCTGTGTTCCCTAAACCACCCCATAATATTTTCATGTTTGTATTGTCTTCAAATCCTTGTTATTTTGCTATCTCTTATTCTCTCTGTATATACATTTCTATGCATCAGTCATTCTTTTGGCGTAGAGTGTGCTTTATGTTCTTGTTCCTGTGTTTTATTATAGTTCATTTGTTTCATCTATTAAACTTATCAGCACATTAATGTCCTTTACCTCCTGTATGTCATGGTCAATGTAATTTTACAGTAAGTGTTCTTCCAAATCTCTCAGCTGATAATTAATATCTTTTAATGAATATCCTCTGAAACACACTGCATACAGGCAATCTTGTCACTTTACAGGATTAAGTAAATCAGGATTAAGTAAAAAAAAATTATAATAAAAAAAATAAAAAAAAATAAATAAATAAAATGAGATCTGCATTTACCTAAACCTAGTGGATGCACTAAATTTAGGTGGATAATGCATTGACCGGTCACTCCTTATGGACACACGGCTGGGCTCTGGAGTGTTCGGTCTGTAATGTAAGGACACGTTCCAAGTCGAGAAAGTTTTCTGATGTTGTGGATTTTTCAGATTCTTTCCTGACTCTGCCATCTAATCCGGTAGAATGTAAATTATCTGTTAAAGGGCACCTATTGTAAAAAATCTTCTTTTCAAGCTGTTTGGACAGATCTGTGTGTTGGTATAGTGTATAGACCGTCATACTGGGGTGATATGAACACACCCAGTCCTTTTTTTTCAATTTAACTACAAAAAAAAGGGTCGGCCAATTGGAGCTGTTTTCAAATCGATCGCACCATTACGTAGGTGTGCGATCCCCCCGCCCACCGAATTGATTGACAGCTGCGCGTATTAACATACCCTGAGTTTGCCGTTTCCGCCATTATCAGCATGTACGTCGAAGCGATGCCACCAAGAGAACACCCTTGTGAACACCCTTAAGCAACAGAGGCTTAAGAGGCTGAGTTTTATCTTTGAAGACAAGGTGCCTGAAAATGTACCAAAACTGTTGTATGTTTGCGCTAACCACTTTAGCGTACACTGCCTCGAGAACGCGGGACAATACAACTCCGGATTCGCGAGTAACGTAAATTGTTTTTGAAAACTGGATCAGTTCCTACAATACGTGATCTGCCTCACTTCAAGTAAGTATTACATTTTATGTACTTCTAGCCTTAGCATTCTAATTATGTTAAGCCGATGAATAGCATCTGCGGCTAAAGTAGCTTCGGATGTTTGTTTGCACATGTTTACCTCTTATTGTGCTTTTCAAAAACAATCTAAATACTCGAAGCTGCAAATGGTAGTGTGTACATGAAGGGGGTTTAGCCATTAGAAACAGAAACCGTAGAAAAATAGCAACATTGTAAAAAGCAGTACCACTGGCTACAGCTAAAGTTTGTTGTTGTTAAATGTTTGTTGTACTGTAATGGTAAGCCGAAATGAATAGCATCTAAAAGTTAAAAGCAGCTAAAGTTGCTTCGGATGTTTGTTTGCACGTGTTCACTGCTATTATGCTTTTCTAAAACAGTCTAAATAATCGAAGCTATAAGTGGTAGTGTGTACAAGAAGGGCTTTTAGCCATTATAAACAGAAACCGTAGAAAAATATAAACATTGTAATAAAGCAGTAACCAGTACTGGCTACAGCTAAAGTTTGTTGTTTATGTGGGATGTTTGTTGTAATGTGTATACTGTAATGTTAAGCAGAAATGAATAGCATCTGCGGCTAAAGCTACTTCGGATGTTTGCGCGTTTACAGCTATTATGCTTTTCTAAAACAGTCTAAATACTCGAAGCTTTAATTGTTAATGTGTACATAAAGGGGTTTTAGCCATCAGAAACAGAAACGGTAGAAAAAATTAAACATTGTAATAAAGCATTACCACTGACTAAGTTACAGCTAAAGTTTGTTTTGTATGTGGGATGTTTGTTGTAATTTTTTTCACTGTACTTGCACTTGGTCTGCAGTTGTTTACAATATGATCGGTATGTTTTAATCAAATAAAGGTCATTTTAAAAAATGTATGTTTTCTCACAAAGGCCACGACGTCGACAAAGAGCAACAAGGTGGATGTTGCTTGCCAGACAGAAACTTTTCACACATCTTTACACAGTGTTGGTACCCAGTTGTCTTTTAGGACGCTTCAGGCTAAACGCAGGAGTACAAGTAAGTTAAAATTTCTCAGTTTATTTTCAGTTGCTGCATTAGAAACGTGTTTTATTATCTTTATAAACGTGCAATGAGATTAATCATAAAATTACACTATAGGTGTCCAGACAACAGTATCCAGTTTTGAACTGACTGTACCATCAGCGTCCTCTACTGTGTTTATGACTTCGACACCCCTCAAACCTTCACTAAAAAGACCTCGTCTGGAGCTGGAGGAGGAGGAGGAAGAAGAGGAAGCCGAAGAGACTTTGACAGAGTCAAAAATTATAGCCCAAGACTCGGATGTAACATTTGACCCTGCAGAGGAATGCACATCTGCAACTAAACCAACAGGCTTGTCGTGAGTTTATGCATTATGTAAATTATTTGAAAGATTGTGTATTGTCATCATAACATTCATCATCTTTTTTTTTATTATGTTAATGTGTATATTTATTTTTACAGAATCCAAGAATGCCCAGTTCATAACATTCCCAAGTTCATTGTCTATGAAACATGCCTCATGGAGCTCTTCAGTGACTGCCCAGTGTGTCAGAGGAGATGTGATGTAAAGTCACAAAGGCTTGGGACATTTCTGAGCGTACAGCAAGTCTGCCCACACTGCGAGTTTGTAAGAAAATGGAACAGTCAGCCAATTATTGGTAGTACTCCAGCTGGCAACCTGCATCTTTCTGCTGCAGTCTACTTGAGCGGTGCATCATTTTTTGTAGTTGAAAAGGTAATTATCTATCAAAATTGATCACATTTCTTTTAGAAACATAATATAAATTTTGTCACAGGGTGCATGCACATTGTACTAAAAATTCTCCTCTCTGTTGTCAGGTATTTGCTGCAATGAAACTACACATTTTTAAATATAATTCATTTCGCCGTCATGCAAGACTTTGCATTGAACCTGCTATTGTCCACAAGTGGAGAAATTGGCAGAGTGAAATGCTAGAACAGCTCAGTCGAAGAGAGAATGTGATTGTTGGAGGAGATATGAGGGCTGACTCCCCAGGTATTTAGTCAAAAGATTTAATTTCTAATTCAATACAGTCTAATAAAAAAAATAAATATGAAATACATTACAATTATTCCAAAAATGTGTTTAGAATAATTATGTACGGTTTGTTCTTGAAGGTCACTCGGCCAAGTATGGGAGTTATACAATGATGGACCTTGCAACTAACACAGTGGTCGACCTACAGTTAGTCCAGGTAATACAGAAAAGTGTTATGTAAACTAGCATAATATTTTGGATGGAAAATGTGTGATTTTTATATATTTTTTTTCCTTATTTAAAATTTTATAGAGTAATGAGGTGGGCGGCAGTTAACATATGGAAAAAGAAGGCCTAAAGAGAAGCCTTGACGTGTTGGATGCCCGCGGTGTTCATCTGGAATGCATCATCACAGACCGACATCCTCAAATACAGAAATATCTCAGGGATCGAAATGTCACTCAGTTTTACGATGTGTGGCATATCGAGAAAGGAATGTAATTTAGCAGTTATTCATTTACTTAAGATTAAATTGCTATTTACAGTTCTTACATGTTTATTATTATTTTTGTGTTGATGTCTTTTTTTCTTTAATTTCCAGGAATTTCCAAAAAACTGGACAAGATATGCCAGATAAAGGGGTGTGAGAAGTTGCATAAATGGTTACGTAGCATCAAAAACCACATCTACTGGACTGCTGCATTATCCACAACAGGTCCTGAAAGAGTGGCAAAGTGGACCTCTATCTTAAACCATGTACAAGACAAACATGTACATGAAGACCCCAATTTTCCGGCTTGTCTGCATCCGCAACGGATAAGCAGAGACAAGAACAAATGGCTGTCGGCTGGTAAGTTGTATACAGACAAATAAAATATTCTTTGCGATTAAAACTAATGCAAAACAGAGCTTGTTTCTTTGTTCAGATTTGTTTTTGATTCAGACTCTAATACCTTAAATTTTTGCTTGTTTAGCAACGATGCCATTCTACAAGCTGGAGAAAGTTCTCGCTAACAAGAGAATATTGAAGGATGTGGCCAAGCTAAGTCCTCACCACCAGACGTCAACTGTTGAAGCTTTCCACAGCGTCATACTGCGGTTTGCACCCAAAAATGTGGTATTCCCATTTCTGGGGATGCTATGCAGGTAAAGCCAATGATCAGAAATTAATATTTACAATACCATACAGTCTTGTCATGGTACGTCATTCACATTTTTCTTTTTGTTAGGTTGTACTTGGCTGCACTGCATTACAATGAAAATGCCGGGCGTCCCCAGGCCACATCAGCAAATGGTAAACTTATTTACAAGCTTGCCTTTCCAAAGGCAAAGAAAGGAGAGTATAGGGTCCGAGAAGTGAAGACGCAGCAAACTTTCGGTATGTATATAAATGTTTATAGTATTATTAATAATTCAATAAATAAAAAAAATAATTGCACTTTACATTCACAATGAAAACTCACTACTCAAAATACAAAATTAAGTTACTAAAGAGATAACTGTTATATTGCATAGGTTATGTAGAAGAGCTGCTGGACCTCATCTTCAACCAAGTGTTTGTGGACCCATCACCCTATGTTGATGAAGTGTTGGGAATTCACATACCACCTGCTCTATCATCAGCCTACGATAGACCTGAGATGGAGGAGGCTATCTCCAGCAGGGTGACCCGCTTCAATCAATAGCTATCCTAAAACCCACATAGCTGCCCTGCTCTTCAGGAAACTGTCTTCGAATCTTCAGCACCACACAGGCAGGAATCACTACACGCACTCTCCACCCGAGGAAACCCCAACACCAGCTCACAAAGCTCCGATAAGCCAAAAAGCAGCACTGTCTAACAGAAACATAATAATGAAACATTGTTTTAGAAATTGCACTACAATTTGAACTTGGGAGTTATCACATATACATTTTTATTTTTTATAAAATAACTTGCTTTAACAAAATTTCAGAAGTCATATTTTGTTTATTCAACTGCCAATGTATGTTTGATATGTTTGTATGTGTTTGTAGATATACTGTACTTTCTAATGTTCATGGACAATTGTATTTCATTCAACAAAGTAACTACTTGGAGTTTATATTTTATATTTGCACAAGGATACATTTTATATTTGCCAATCACATTTTAATTTATACTTCAATATAAAGTTTTTATATGACTCAGGAATTGAAGCATCTTTTCTGAAGGGTTGATGTTTCTATGCCATACTGATATTTATATATTTTAAGAGTTTATATATTAATGTTGAGTGAATTTAAAATTATTTTTTAATAAAAAGTACATGCATTACTCAGCTTTTTATGAAGTCATTCAAATTGTCATCTCAGAAATAGCAGCAATAAAAAACGTTACGTATTTCATTTTTATTGACATTGAGGTAAAGTTGGTTTTATATTCAGATATTCGGACATTCTCCTTAATAGTATCATTTCAGTAAAGTATTCTTTGCAAATTCAAAATAGGGAAATCGTATTAGCAGCAAATGACAAAGTACAACATTGTTTACAGTCAAGTAGATAGTTTTAATGTTGTTTACAAGTCATACTTGCATGCTAAATTCGATCGATTGTTTAAACTACCATGGTAAACAATACAGGGACTTCTGAATGTGCGGATATAAAACCAACTTTATCGCTATTGTATTGACTACACAGCGTTAATGTGCTTAAAAAGAAAGCGAGCATGCAGATCATGAACAAGGTAACCTGCTATTCTTTCTATTTATTTAAACTCACTTTTGCACTCCACGAAGTCGCAGGGGACCATAGTCTGCTTTGTATATATTCGATGCATTTTGCAAGGAATAAATATTGAAGCAAACGGGATCCATTCCTGGATGCTCCGTCATGCACGAGGGTTGCACTTCCAGTTGATCCATTCGTCTTCTAACCTTATTACATGACACAGTTATGCTGTTTATTATCTCATTCGATTTCTTTAGAGCAGCAACGTTAACATAAACTGGAAATTTACCTGCGGTATCTCCCTGCTGCATACATTTTAAGCCTCAGTTGGCATTTTTTCACAATTGCCACACAAGCACCTGCCAATATTTGTCAACGTCAATATTCATGAATTACGAATAAATCATACCAATGCAAAATTTATCTCTGTGGATATCTTTATGTCTTGTCTGTGTTTGACGTAACGCATGACGTTCGCGAACTTTATCAAACAAATTACGGATGGCGCATGCATAGTTACATAGCGGCTGTAAAAGTATACAAAAACATAAAATATTTTGTATGTACCACTCTGACACATTCTGGCACATTCGGATTATAGATTCCTCAACAGTCGACTCTGCTTGATCTGTGTCCGAGTCTGGGTCATATATGTAGGGTTGAATTGTGTTCCTCTCACTCATGATGACTCTTACTGTCTGCCTCTGTGATGCGGTGCACAAAGCAGACGCGCTCTTGGCTCCGCCCCCTTGTTACGTTGGGCGGGCAGTCGAAACTCATTATCATGTTAAACAACACACCCCCAAAACAGCAACCCGTGTACATGCCTCTAAATTTACACTTTTTAACACAGCATAATAACAATATCTGAATTGCGTTTTGATCTGAACCTACATTGGCACACTCAGAAGAACCATAATATTAGTATTAAATCTCAAAAAAGGGCTAAAATATGTGCCCTTTAAGACTGACATGACTGATTCTGTCTCTCAGCTTGCAGAAAAAAATCCAGCAAATGTGAGTAGGGAACATTTGGGTGCTGCACAAAAGATGGATCCAACGTTCACCAACTGTATAAGTGCTGCAGTTGATGACCGTGATCTTGTGGGAGAAATTGGATACTTTTGGGAAAATGGGATTCTAATGCGAAAATGGAAACCAAAGTCTTCAGAGGAAGATGATTGGTGGACAGTATACCAAGTTGTACTTCCCGTCAATTATCGTTCCCAAGTATTGAAATTGGCAAATGAAAATGTTCTTTCAGGACACCTTGGTGTCAGAGAAACATATAATCGAATCACAAAACTTTTTTACTGGCCAGGAGTAAAGTCTGCAGTTTCTGATTTTTGCCGCTCATGTGATGTTTGCCAGTGTGCTGGAAAACCAAATCCTAACATTCCAAAAGCCCCTCTTCATCCAATTCCTGTCATTGGAGAGCCATTTGAAAGATTGCAAATGGATTGTGTAGGTCCCCTTCCCAAGTCCAAACACAGACACCAGTATATCTTGATGATAATGTGCACTGCAACCTGTTACCCAGAAGCTGTGCCATTGCGCACACTAAAAGCACAGACTGTGTTAAAGGAGCTAATTAAGTTTTGTACCACTTTTGGATTGCCTAGAGTAATACAAACTGAATAAAGGCTCAAATTTCACTTCAAAAGTTAGAGCAAATGTTGAAGGAACTTGGAATCACCCATACAATGTCTATTGTATATCAACCAGAATCACAGGGAGCAATAGAATGTTTTCACCAAACCTTGAAGTCTATGCTCCGTGCCTTCTGCTTAGAGTCTAGAAAAGACTGGGTTGATGGTTTACCCCTACTCATGTTTGCAGTACGAGAGTCTGTTCAAGAATCTCTAGGATTCAGTCCTGCCGAGCTTGTGTTTGCTCATACTGTCCAATGTCCCTTGAAGATGTTGAAAGAACAGTTAATCAGTAAAGTTACTGTTCCTGTTTCTATGTTGGACTATGTCAGCTTGTTCCGTAAGCGGCTGCATAAAGCTTGTGAACAGGCAAGATCTCACCTCTCCTCTGCACAATCTAAAATGAAAGCTCACTTTGATAAGAGAACAGTACAGAGAAGTTTTCAACCAAATGACTCTGTTCTTGTACTACTTCCTGTTCCTGGTTTGCCTCTTCAAGCCACGTTTTCAGGTCCTTATGTGACTGAACAAAAACTCAGTGACACAGACTGTCTTAAAAACACCTGATCGTAGGCGGAAGAAAAGGGTCTTCCACATCAACATGTTAAAACCCTATGTTAGACGTGATCCACCTGAGTCCTCTCTGAATGCAGCATCATCAAGCCAACATTGTGTTACAGCAGTACCTGTCTGTCTTCCTGCTGCTGAAGAAGTAAGTGATGACACAGACTTTATTTTAGCTGAGCCTCAAACACCTGGATTTCAATTAAATAATTCAACTATATTAGCCAACCTGGAGTAACACTTGTCTTACTTGACTGAGTTCGTTTGTTGTTGCTTTTGTTCTTGTTCTCGTTCTCTCTCTCTTGTTCTCCCTCGTTCTCTCTCTCACTTTCTCTCTCTCTCTCGTCTCACCTGTTGGCAATTAAGTGGCTGGAGCATGTGGCAGGAGAGAACAAAGAGAGATTGTGCCAAACACTAGTTGGTGAAGGCTGCTCTCACTTGGTTCTCCTGCCCCAGACTAGCTTTTGGTGTTGAATAATTGAGATACTTGTTGTAAAATTACAAATCTTGTTGATAGTGAACAATAGTGAAATTTTGACTTTAAATTCCCTTTGTTTGTTTAATACTTTATCTTGTTGGTTTTGTTTCAACTTTTTGGAGCTGTACGGAGGTGGATATCACTTGTTTGTTTAATACATTTCTTTTTCTCCTGTTTCTAATAGAAAGGGAGCAAAGTAAGATCTTTGTTTTTTCTTTTTAATTTTCTTTTGAGAGTTTAGAAAGTTGCTTCCTCAATCAGTTAGATCTTTTGTTTGTTGTTTTGGCATTATCCTCTCTTGAGTAGTTTTGACCATTGGTCATTTATTATTTGTTAATCTGTAAATAAATATACTTCTTTTTTCGTATATTGGATTTGGTGTGATTTATTGTTGGAGTGCTGGATTGGAGTGATTGTTGGCTGCCTTGCCCTTTAGTTTTTTTGTTATATTTTATATTATCAAAATTGACCTCTAACTAATTTTATAATTTGGCAAAATTTAATATGTTAATTTTAAAAACTTTTTCCCCTTTATGTTAAATTGTTGTGTGTTTCCCTGGCCCTAGATAGGGGAGGCACGTAACAAGGAACAACAAGCAAATATAATCCAAACACTCCTAAATTCATTAATACTGTTATTCATTACTTTTTCTATGTTCCAAGTCAGAAACTGTAAACAAAAAAACGAACAAACAAACAATCAAAAACTGTTTGTAATGTAATGTAATGTATTTTTTTTATTTATTGCTATGTCAGCAAAAACAACAAACAAATGAATACTCTAATTAAATATGATTTTTGTCTTAATACATGATAAGAATTTAACAGTCCAGTAAAAATGTGTTTTATAGTAAGGGGAGTTTTGCAGCACAAACATGGAGTGGGGTCTTCATCTTTAAGTAAAAAGACGTGAGTTAATCTTGTATGCCCAATAAGATATCTGGTAAAAATCACTTGATCAAATCGAGTCTTAAAATGTCTTAAAATTCTGTTTGAGATTTCAGGTTGGATTTCATGTAATTTATTATTTTCCAATGCATCCCACTCCTCTTGCCACTTATTTAAAATATAAAACTTGATAAAAAGGTCTCATCTCTGATGGAGGAATTTGGTATTTGTTCACAACTTGCTTCAAGGCATCTTTAGCAGCTGCATCAGCTCGCTTTAAAAACTGTTTAGTACAGCGCTTACCTAACTTTGTGATCAGTGTTTGCATTAGATTTAGGTGGATCATATGTTGACCGGTCACTCCTCATGGGCACACGGTGGGGCTGTGGAGGTTTCTCTCTGTACCTTAAGGAGGAACACAACAAACAAATATAATCCAAACACTCCTACATTCATTACTACTGTTATTCATTACTTTTTCTATGTTCCAAATCAGAAACAAAACAAACAAACAAACAAACAAACAAACACTGTTTAGTACAGCGCTTACCTAACTTTGTGATCAGTGTTTGCATTAGATTCAGGTGGATAATGCATTGAGTGGTCACTCCTCATGGACACACGGCGGGGCTGTGGAGGTTTCTCTCTGTACCTTAAGGAGGAACACAACAAACAAATATAATCCAAACACTCCTACATTCATTACTACTGTTATTCATTACTTTTTCTATGTTCCAAGTCTGAAACAAACAAACAAACAAACAAACAAACAAACAATTAAACACTGTTTAGTACAGCGCTTACCTAACTTTGTGATCAGTGTTTGCATTAGATTCAGGTGGATAATGCATTGAGTGGTCACTCCTCATGGACACACGGCGGGGCTGTGGAGGTTTCTCTCTGTACCTTAAGGAGGAACACAACAAACAAATATAATCCAAACACTCCTACATTCATTACTACTGCTATTAATTACTTTTTCTATGTTCCAAGTCAGAAACAAACAAACAAACAAACAAACAAACAAACAATCAAACACTGTTTAGTACAGCGCTTACCTAACTTTGTGATCAGTGTTTGCATTAGATTCAGGTGGATAATGCATTGAGCGGTCACTCCTCATGGACACACTGCGGGGCTGTGGAGGTTTCTCTCTGTACCTTAAGGAGGAACACAACAAGTTCAAGTTAAAGTTCAATTTATTATATAGCACGTTTCCAACTGCCACAAGCAGGCCTGGATTAAAAACTCAGGGGCCCCAGGGCACAATAGCCGCATTTCCACTATCGGGCCAGTGCGAGCCAGGGCTTTAATCGGGCCGGGCCAATATATATTGGCCCGGGAGGTTGAGAAATGAGGCTGAAATCATGTCGCGTTTTCACTGTCGGGCTAGTAGCTTACAGCGCGTCACGCAAACACCGCCCACAGAACGTCCCCTGAATCAAACGTCGCACAACCCGCCCACTTCAGCGAGAATCAAGCAGATAAAGCACATCATAGAATCATCACGAAACAAAACCATTAAAATGAAGACAACCGAAACAAACAAACGACATGTTACTGTACAGCAGTACATGAAATGTCTATACGCACAGACCTGTGTATTTCCATTCATTACATTTGTTTACTCGCCGACCGACTGTTGGCATTGTGCGCTCTCGCCACTAACGGAGGGACCCAACACAGAGCGCACACATCCATAATATAAAGCCACAGAAATTCTCCTTTATAACTTGATATGGCATGTATTTTATAACATCCTCGTTTTGATAGACGCCGTGTTAAGTTTTCAGCACAAGAGCGAGTAGCCTAATAAAATATAGCCATATTTGTTGCGCTCGGCAGCTATTCACTAAAGCTCTTCATTTAAAGTTTCATTTATAAATTTAACCACGTCATATAAAAACATAAACAGTTGTTTGAGGATATAGAACACATTTTGTGTTTGGACTTTCCCCCATATGCGTTTAAAGCAGCGAGCGCTGCGCAGGACTGAGTGACAGAAAAAAAGGTGTAGGCTAGATTCTGCTTTCACTCACCCAAATAATGCTCTGTTTGCGCGATTTGATTAATATCATCGTATACAAATACTTTATAGCCTAAATATTTACTTATATAAATATTTACTTTATATAAATATTTCAAACCTTCTCTGGTGTTTATTGTTTTTAGAAAATATCGAAAATCTTTTTTTTCAGACAGGTCTTTGTAAAATGAAAGTTAGGCTTTATGTGGCTTTAAAACTTTTTGATTTATGTATTGCATATAGGCTACCTACATTGTTATAGCTAGCTTTTGTTTATTTTATATTGGTTAATTTATTTAATGTGATTTTATATATTAAATTATATTTCAATATAGCTTAGGCTATTTTATCAAGATATGACACTATATTTTTTAAAGTCTACGAAAGTGGGCACATAATTTGTTAAGTTTTATGTCCTTCTGTTGTATTTATATTGTTTTATCTCCAAAATAAATAAATAAAGCTGTGAAGAAGCCCTTTTGCCCGGTCTCACACACTCAAACAGGCATCTAAACGCGCACAAACAAACATTTTAAACTTGACAAAAACTCTGGAAAACCTTTACTGTCTGCTGTGTCTTTAATATGGTGTAAAGATTATTATGCGTTATTGAAACATAAAGGAGGACGCAGCATATGTCACTATAAATTAAAACTGCTTTATTATTTTATGCAGCAGCCTTACATTTAAAAGGGAAACATAAGGGTGATCATACGCAATAAGACCCCAGACTATAAGGCTAGATGTTTTCTTTCCCTTATTTCTTTATTTGTTTGGCGCATGTACTCATGTGCGATCAGAAAACTGCCCGCCTCTCCTTTCACTCCGCCCCGAAGCCCCAGCTGGCCCTCCTTGGCCCAAGATATTTGGCGGGCCGAAAAAGGCCGGCCGCTGGCCCCAAGAAAGCCCCGCTTTGGCCTGATTAGGCCCCGGAAGTGACAGAGGAAACCCCACTGGCCTTGGCTCGCCCTTTAGGCCCAATAGTGGAAACGCGGCTATTGTCTTGTAAGGCCCCCTAACCGGCTGCACCCTAATAGTTGAATTAAAAAATAAGAATAATATAATAATTTTTAAATAAAATTAATCTATACTTTGTTGCCCACATATTTAAATAAATGATATATAGTACATATATATTTATACTCTACAAAGATTTAACTTATTTTTCAAAGCATTGAATAAAAATACTAATAGTGAAAATTCATGTTTTTTAGTATACTTGTTCAAGTTCACTGAAACAGTCCTATATATAGTATAGTATTATTATATATATATATATATATATATATATATATATATATATATATATATATATATATATATATATATATATATATATATATATATATATATATATATAAATAAAAATATAAAAGAGAAAACTGAAGTCATTGCGTTTGGGAACAGAGATGAGGTTCTCAAGGTGAATGCGTACCTTGGCTCTAAAGGTCAAACGACAAAAAATAAGGTCAAGAATCTTGGTGTGACTCTGGAGTAAGATCTGAGTTTCAACAGTCATGTCAGAGCAGCCAGTAAATCAGCATACTATCATCTCATATTGCAAGAATCAGATGCTTTGTTTCCAGTGAAGATTTAGAGAAACTTGTTCATGCTTTTATCAGCAGCAGGGTGGATTACTGTAACGGCCTCCTCACTGGCCTTCCCAAAAAGACAGTCAGACAGTTGCAGCTCATCCAGAACGCTGCGGCCAGGATTCTGACCAGAACCAGAAAAATCAGAGCACATCACACCGGTCCTCAGGTCTCTACACTGGCTGCCAGTTACATTCAGAATAGATTTTAAAGTATTATTACTGGTTTATAAATCACTAAATGGCCTTTCACACTAGCTGCGTCTGCAGCGCACAGCTCTTCGGCAGCTGCTGCAGAGATCAACCTATCTCCATTTCACAGTTATAATAATATTTATTTAATATAGTTATAATGATATTTATACGTGATCAAACTAGTGTTACTTTCTCCGCTTCAGTAATGTCCAGGGGCAGAGTAACAGCTCGTGCAAAGGATGAGACGGACAAAAGTAATCGACGCATGCCCTTCTTTTACTTATTTTTGTGTTGTCAGGTTCACGGTGCAAACAGCTCTCGGGTGGAATAACTTGAGTGAACATAAAACAAAGCCGAGTAAAACTTTTTTCCTCTGCTTCAGCTGCACAGCACACAGCGAGTTCACATCACCCAGAATGTGTGTCGAACCACAGTACCACTTCGCTTTGGACTACAACTCCCTTAAATAGCAAGTCTTAAAGCAACTACTCCCCTCTCCTACAACACTAGCGTGCAACTTAAGCAAAACTGATACTAAAATTGTTTTACATTTGGTTTTGTAGTTCGGACCTAAATCAATGTTTGCTGCAGTTTTTAATCGTAAATGTTCATTTGATTGACTATATATAAATCAGTTGATATTATTAACGCATTTATTGGGTAAAATTGCTACTTTTTACTGCCATTCAATGTGTTTTGGTCATTATCAATGCAAACTTATTATGACTCCAGAATAATTATTTATTTAGGAAACACTGTAAACATTTTCAGAAACATTATTGTAAATGAATGGGAGGGCAAAATAAATTGACTTCAACTGTAGGCCTGTTAAAGTTTACAGGTGCAGCAATGTGCCTTGATGTACTTGAGTGTTAGAAATGTGTTCTCCTACACCAGAACAACGTTACTTGTCAAATAAATGAACAAAGAAGATTATTTTGAGTTTAAGTTATTTAATTATCTTGTTGATGAAGACTGCAGAATGATGCATGAAAACAAATCACTTCCAATAATGTTTTAAGTATTTTGTGATATATATGTTAAAATGTGCTCCTAAAAGTACGTGGCCCCTGCCCGCACCCCCCACAGGTTAATAGTAACTAATGTAATTTCATAATGCAAATCTTAAATCCATGCAAACCAACAAATGATCGAAGGAAATGTATTAATGTAATACAAAATGAATTGATGTTTACTTTAAACTGTAATCATATTGTTCTATTAAAATGATTTTTAAAAATATTTTGTCAAATAAAATATTTTTGAAGAGGTATTCGCCATAATTTGAGGCTAAAAAGTATCGATTAAGGTCGATTTGGCACCGTTATCATTTTAAAAGTATCAATTTAGCACCGGTATCGAAAAAAACTCAAACGATACCCAACCCTACCCACGAGGCACTTGTGGCTTTATATAACATTTGCATTATTTTTTACAAAATGTTTCCTTCCTATAAAAAATAAACATATTTACAATCTGATATGTAATGGGGAGAAAAAAAGTAGCACGAGTTCAGTGGATGATGGATTCAAACTGGGTTAATAATCAATCGCATCAAAAAATGATGCTATGCACTTAACAAGGTACGCCACTCAAGCTGTAATGTTAATTCACTCTTTACTTATGTTGTCTCTATCAATCAGGCATTGATGGGCATAAACCGTGAATAGCTTATTCCTACTAGGTGCACTATTTGCAGTTAGCCTAAAAAGACACTCCAAAATTGGCTTTTTTTTTCCCCCTCACAGTGGCCCCAAGTGCGCACAGGCCCCTGGGCCTGTGCCCATAATGCCCATTGGTTAATCCGGCCCTGGCCACAAGGCTGCACAAAGTGCTTTACAGAGAGAAAATAAACACATGAAATGAGCTTAAAAAAGTAACAACAGCAATAGGCACATACTAGAAAAGAACGTAAAGAGTAAATCAATAAAAGAGCAAAATAAAAATAATGTTAAAAAGAATTTTTGATTAATTAAAAGATGCTACCACAGTTGACAGACACTAAACACGATTAAGAACATGAACATTTTACCCCCCCCCCCCCCCCCCCTCCCCCACCCACCCTCTGAAGGCAAGGACTTATGCTTCAAAAGAGCTAAAAAAAAAATGCATCTTTAATTTAGACTTAAAAATGGGCAGAGACAAAGCCTTTTTTAGTTCTAATGGCAGGGCGTTCCAGAGGCGAAGTCCTGCTATGGCAAAAGCACGTTCGCCTCTACTTTCGAGGTGGGCCTTTGGAACTTTTAATAAAAACTGATCAGCGGAACGCAAGTGTCTTTGAGGAGTGTAATTAACAATCAGTTGGGATAAATAATGAGAGCCTACACCATGTAGGGCTTTATACACAAAGAGAAGGATTTTAAATTTGATTCTTTGTGTCACCGGTAGCCGATGTAGAGACCTCAGAATAGGAGTTATGTGTGCATATTTCGGGCTTTTTGTTAAGAATCTAGCTGCTGCGTTTTGCACTAACTGTAGGCGAGCAATCTGAGACTTGGGCAGCCCAAAATAGAGAGAATTACAATAGTGCAACCGGGAGGTTATAAGCGCGTGTAGGGCAATTTCTAAAGAGTGTGAAGGAAGAGAGGATTTCATTTTTGAGAGAAGGCGGAGTTGGAAGAAAATATTTCCAACCACTTTTGAGATGTGTTTATCAAATTTTAAGTTCTGCTCTAATGTTATGCCCTGGTTACGTACGTGGGGTGATCTGAACTCCAAGTTGCCCAACCTGGAGCGTTTACAGTCAGACAAATCATTGGACCCAAATATAATAACTTCAGTTTTCTCCTCATTTAGAAATAAAAAGTTCTCAGAAAGCCATGCTTTTACATCCTCCCAGGGCCAGCCCGTGGCATAGGCAGTATAGGCAAATGCTAAGGACGCTGTACATCCAGGGGGCACCAGAAATGAGCGGGGGTAAGTTGGTTTTGTTTTTGATATTCTTGACACATTCAGTGATAGATGGCAATAACTCAAAAACCTCTTAGCCTAAAAAGATCTAAAGTTTGTTTCCTACAAAAAAACAAAGCTGGTTATGTTTCACAGCTGTCTTTTTCTGTTTTTTCGCTCGAAATAACAACCACTGCTCCGTTTAGCCGGGGATATGGGTTTAGCCGGGAGAGCTCTCACTAAGGGACCGTCGGAAAAGTGCTTCTTTTTTTTCTTTTTTTTTTCTTTTTGCTCTATCCTGCGTGTTTAATTTTAAACACAACTAATTTTCTCTTAAATGAGCACAAACTTACTAAAGTAGTCGAATGCTTCATTCGTTCATTCATTTGGATTTGTGCATTCTTACATTAACTCCTCTGTTATCAAACAAAACACCATGAGAGATTCACTAGCTGCTCTTCACAAAATAACTATAGTAACTTTAAACAATATGCAAATACAATTAAAAGTTAAATAGATTTTATAGCTTTATTTAATTTCTGTATAGGCCATTGATATTAATAGGTTAAACCTTTTATTTTATTGTCAGTATTTTCTATTGTTTGCAATGTATTCTATCATTTGAAGCTATTTGTTGTCCCATATTTTTTACATCCCAACGTTGACAGATATGGCATACCATTGCTAATCAATAAATATCTATAGTGCTATATGTTAGTTTTACCGTCAGCTAATGTTATAGAAGGGCATAGATGTTATGGAAAATAGTAATAGTAATGTAACTACCCCCATCATTCCTTCCTCAAGCAAATGTGTAAATATTAAATCTATACAGCAATAATGTTAATTGCATTGACATATTTATCTGACATTTATAACAAATTTATATATGAAATCATTCATTTTCGTTTTGGCTTTGGCCCTTTTTTAACCTGGGATCACCACAGCAGAATGAACCGCTAACTTATTTAGTATATGTTTTACGCAGTAGATGCCTACCAAGCTGCAACCCGTCACTGGGAAAACCCTATACACACATTTACATACATATGGACAATTAAGCCTACCCTATTCACCTATGAGGTGAGGTGACAGCGCTACCCACTGCGCCACTACGTTGACCCCTTGTGAGAATAGTTCAGTTCATTTTATGCATTTGGCAATATCTGATTTTAGAGCCTTTTTTTTTTTTTTTTTTTTTTTTTTTGCTTTCTTTGAGCTTTTCGGCACTGCCTTTCCTTTTTTATGGTCCATCTCTGACAATTAGCTTGTGTTGCACTTTCTGTTTGTTTGACATTCATGCCAGATTTTGATTACATTCCGCGTAACCTCTGATTAGGATGGTCCATCTCGAAACCAGCCTTAACATTTAACATACATAACATACAATGCTTAACATTTATTATTATTATTTTTACCTTTACCATCATCAAAAGCTGCCTACAGGTAAAAACAATACAGATAAAAAGTAAATAATAAAATAGTTGACTGGCCCTCATTTTAAAAAATGGTCCGGCCCTTCTGGCATTTGCCAGAATTGCCAGATGGCCAGTCCGCCCCTGTAGTAGTCAATCAAAAAGCTATTTAGTTTCTTATGACTATACACTAGCAGTGGAATTTACTGTGATGTGACGGGGCGCCACCTGAAATCTTGCCTAGGGCATCAAATTGGTTAGGGCCGGGCCTGCCTCCTCCAAGCACAGTGACAAGGAGTTCACAACAGAGGACTCATTTTCCTTTTTGAGTGACATATAGATTTGTGTAACGTCTGCGTAAAAATGAAAATGCAGGCCATGTTTTCTGAAAATATATGCTCCCTCTTGGTTCTAAAGAGTGAATAGTGAAGGTGCTAGAATCGAGCCTTGGGGAAGACCACACATTAACGGTGCTGTGAAGGAGGAAAAGTTACCAATTTTGACAAAAAACTTCCTGTCGGAGATGCATGATTTCAACCATTTTAGCACTGTACCCTTCAGCCCAACCCAGGACTCTAGCTGAGATAATAACACAGAGTGGTCAATGGTATCGAAGGCTGTGGATAAATCCAGCAAAATTAAGGCCACATGATTACCAGCATCAGTGAGGAGATAGATGTCATTCAAAAACTCTTAATAGAGCAGATTTAGTGCTATGAATCAGCCTAAAGCCATATTGAAAAGGCTCAGCGATATCATTGTGGGATAGAAATCTTTGTAATTGATTAAGTACAATTTTTTGTACAATTTTGGAGATGAAAGGTAAGGCGGAAATGAGTCTAAAGTTTTTGAAATCAGATGGATTTAGTGAGGCCTTCTTGAGCAGAGGAGTGACAGTAGCTGTTTTTAGACTGCCAGCAAAATACCGGTCGTAAGACACTTCTTAATGACAGTGAGCAAGACCGGGCCCAGAGATACACAGAGCGAAGTATAGAAACGAGGGAGGAAAATTTCGCCAGGGCCAGAAGTGGGTTTTAATTTTGAAATTACGGATTCCAAATTGGCTAAGGTAGATGGCAGTTTAAGGGATCCACTGAGACCCCAGATGGGCTCAATTGTGACCTTAAAGTTGTAATTTTGTCACTGAAGTATTTCAAGAAGCTCTCACATAGAGAAGAAGCATCAGATAGCACATTCACTGGAGGATTTACATCAGACTGAATAACAGCAAAAAGTGCTTTGGGTTAAGAGCGATTTGACTCAATCAAATTAGCAAAATAAGCAGCTTTTGCTTGCTTCATAGCTGACTAATAAGAAATCAAAGAAGATCTGAAAAGTTGAAGAGAGATGGTATGTCTGTCCTTTTTCCATTTACGTTCAGCCTGTCTATATTTTTGTTTTAAAGTGCGTGTCTCTAATGTTTTCCAAGGTTCAGTTTTTGCAGCAGTGCAGCAGATAAAGATGTTGTTCAGCATCTAGTTCTGATAAGGGGAGATCTAGGCGCGATTTGACGTAGAAATCGATGTCGAAGGCATCCAACAGGTTGATGAAATCTTGAGCAAAAGAGTTAGATTGACGGCAAATGTGAATATTAAAATCGCCTACTAGTATGAAACAGTCGCAAGAAATTGTCATGTTGCCGATGAGTTCAATGAAGTGCTCAATGAAGTGCTTGATGAACAAGCAAATATAATCTAAACACTCCTAATTTTATTACTACTGTTATTCATAACTTTTTCTATGTTCCAAGTCAAAAACGGTAAACAAACAATCAAAAACTGTTTAGTACAGCGCTTACCTAACTTTGTGATCAGTGTTTGCATTAGATTCAGGTGGATAATGCATTGAGTGGTCACTCCTCATGGACACACGGCGGGGCTGTGGAGGTTTCTCTCTGTACCTTAAGGAGGAACACAACAAACAAATATAATCCAAACACTCCTACATTCATTACTACTGCTATTCATTACTTTTTCTATGTTCCATGTCTGAAACAAACAAACAAACAAACAAACAAACAATCAAAAACTGTTTGTAATGTAATGTAATGTATTTTTTTATTTATTGCCATGTCAGCAAAAACAACAAGCAAATGAATACACTAATTAAATACGATTTTTTGTGTTAATACATGATAAGAATTTAATAAATTTTTTTTTCGCTTCAGATCCTTTCTGAGTGAGTCGATGAGGGTTCCTCTTGCTAATTCAGCACTTCAGAGCGAACGAGTGTCTCCCGGTCCAGAGTGGGTTTTCGCGGCGGCAGACAGTCGAGCTGGGATTCTCCCTTGCCTGCGGTTCTTTAGATCCAGTCCTCCAGAGCGGTGCGTATTGTTGCTAAGCTTTCCTAAAAGAGCAACACAGTCGTGCAGCACGTCCTTTTCAGGATGGCGCTCCGACTGTGCGTTTCTGGTTGCAGGGGTTTCCTGGCTCCGGATGATAGACACGATCACTGCATTGCATGTTTGGGGGTCCAGCATGTTAATGCGGTGCTCGCGGGCGGTCCATGTCGTCATTGCGATGCCATAACCGTTGCACAGCTAAGATCGCAGCTAACTTTTGTAAGAGAGCGAGCCACCCCAGTTGCCTCCTGTTCTAAAAAAGCAGCGGGCGCTCAAGCAGATCTGAGGGTTCCAGTGGGAGATAATCCACCGCCCAAGGGCTCGCGGACCTCTCGCTCCTCGCAGCGCTCCATCCAAGCTTCAGGCAGTGGGAGTGATCCGTCTAACCAGATGGTAGCTCTCATGCTCGCTGACACCGGAGATCAGATGTCCTCCGCGGCATCGGAGGGTGGGCTTTCACGTTCCGACGAAGATCCGGACCCGCTCGCCCCCTTCGGGCAGGTGAGCGCCGTCAAATCGGATCCTGAAGCGGACATGTTAGCCGTGCTTTTCCGGGCTGCTCCGGCCGTGGGGTTGGAGCTGGTTCATTCCCCAGCTCCGCGGCCAGACCGACTAGATGGGTGCTACATAGAGGACCAGAAGGCGAAGCCTTCGAAGCCTCTCGTCGCCTTCTTCCCGGAAGTGCAGAGTAGGCTCATGCAGTCTTGGAGGGCACCTTTCTCTGCCCGTGCTGCGTGTCCCTCCGCCCTCACCGCCCTCGATGGCGGAGCTGCCAGGGGGTATGAGGCGATCCCGTGAGTGGAGCGCGCTATCGCGGTCAATCTTTGTCCGCGTGGCGCCTCTCCGTGGCGGGGTTTGCCCTACCTCCCATCCAAAGCCTGTAGGTTGTCTGCCTCCCTCGAAACCAGAGCTTATAAGGCTGCGGGCCAGGCTGCTTCTGCTTTGCACGTGATGGCCACCTACCAGCGCTACCAAGCGCAGGCGCTGGCCATGCTGCACAAGGGCGGGTCTAACCCAGGCTTACTAAATGAGCTGCGCACCGCGACCGACTATGCTCTTCGGACTACTAAGTCCGCCGCGTGTGCGCTGGGGAGGACGATGTCCACACTTGTGGTTCAGAAACGCTACCTCTGGCTAAACCTGGCCGATATGCGCGATGTTGACAAAGTTCGCTTTCTTGACGTCGGTGAATTCATCCAGGAATTCAAGGCGGTGAAAGAGCAGTCGGATGCGATGGGCAATGTCATCTATCGGCGCAGCCGTAAGCCTGCTCCGCCCACCGAGCCATCCACCTCCGCTGCTCCTCGCCGCGGGCGCGGCGTACACCTCGAAAGCAGGCAGCCCCCCCTGCCCAGGGCGCCGTTAAGTCCCGTAAACGGACCGTGAAGCGTCCCTGAGACAGGCCATCCGGAGAAGAGGAAACTTGCTCTTTCCCCACTGGAGGGTGGGGCCCTGATTACAACGGTACTTTTCAGTGCCACCAAAACATCAATGAAAGAGCACTTTTCCCCTTCCCCGGATGTGACAGCACGAACTCTGCCAGTCCGGGACGCGCTGCCTTCCGGCTCGCAGATTCTACGTGCGTCGCCAGTGGCTCACGAGCGCTGGGGGGACGGTCTCCCTTCCCTCAGCCCTCCAGCCCCCTCTCCGGAGTCAGGGTGCGGAGCCAGAGTGAATCGCTCTCCTCCAGCTCTTCAACCCACGCGGCGCTGCCCCACCACTGGTACGTCAGCGATTGTAGCGATGACTCCATTAGCGAGGGCTCTGCCTGCCTGGTTAGCGCGGGCCAGCCCCTCGCGGTGGCTCATACGCACAATCAGACTCGGTTACGCAATTCAGTTCGCGAAATGGCCCCCCAAGTTCACAGGCATGTATTTCACCAGGGTCAACCCCCTGTCCGCCCCTGTCTTGCGAGAGGAGATTGCTGCCCTCCTGGCGAAGGGTGCAATCGAGCCAGTTCCTCCAGCCGAGATGAAGAGTGGGTTTTACAGCCCATACTTCATCGTACCCAAAAAGAGTGGTGGGTCACGACCAATCCTAGATCTGCACGTTTTGAACCGCTGTCTGAACAGACTGCCGTTCAGAATGCTCACGCAGAGGCGCATTCTCCAATGCGTTCGTCCTTGGGATTGATTTGCAGCCATAGACCTGAAGGACGCGTATTTCCATGTCTCCATTCTTCCACGCCACCACCAATTTCTGCAGTTTGCGTTCGAGGGTCGAGCGTGGCAGTACAAGGTCCTCCCCTTCGAGCTCTCTCTGTCTCCGCGGGTCTTCACCAAACTCGCGGTGGGTGCCTTAGCGCCCCTTCGGCTCGCGGGCATCCGCATACTCAATTATCTCGACGACTGGCTGATTTTAGCCCACTCGCAGGAGTAATTGATTATGCACAGGGACAAGGTGCTTTGGCATCTTCGCCTACTGGGGCTTCAGGTCAACCGAGAAAAGAGCAAACTCGCCCCCGTGCAGAGGATCTCTTTTCTCGGGATGGAGCTGGACTCGATCACCATGGTAGCGCACCTCTCCAAGGAACACGCTTGCCTGTTGCTGAACTGTCTGAGAGAGCTCGACAGCAAACTAGTGGTCCCACTGAAGTTCTTTCAGAGGCTCCTGGGACATATGGCATCCGCAGCCGCCGTCACGCCGCTCGGATTGCTCCATATGAGACCACTTTAGCACTGGCTTCACGATCTGGTCCCAAGACACGCATGGCACGCGGGCACACACCGGGTCTCTGTTACTGCGCTGTGTCGCCGCACCCTCAGCCCTTGGAACGACCCCTCGTTCCTACAGGCCAGTGTGCCTCTAGGACAGGCGTCCAGCCATGTTGTTGTTTCAACGGATGCTTCCAACACGGTGTGGGGGGCTGTGTGTTGCGGGCATGCAGCTGCGGGCCTGTGGAAAGGTGCCCAGTTGCATTGGCATATCAATCGCCTAGAGCAGTGGTTCTCAAACTTTTTTCACCAAGTACCACCTTAGAAAAAAATTGTTTAAAAACGATGCAGATTAATTCCTATTATTAAGAATATGTATTATTGTCAGTCACTTTAAACATTTTAAATAGTCTGAACATTAACTGTGCTTGCATTTAAAAAAAAAAAAAAAAACGTTTTAGTTAAAATGTGCTTTTAAAGGTTCATAAAAAATGGCGCTGTTCTTAAAAAGTAAGAGAAAACTGCTGCACTTAAATTTAAAGTTTTCATAATAGCCTATTCATCAAAAGCTGTAAATGTTGCTTGGACCTCATAAATATAGGCTATATGTCATATTCATACACTTTTAGACAAATCTTGAAATGTTAAATGTACATATGACAGGGTTCATACAGGCACAGCCTAATGAAAATCAATTCCAGCACCTATTTTTTTTTTCAAGACTGACATGCTATGTATTGAAGACCTGAAATGTATTCTCAGCAACCCATAAAACATTGCATAGGAATAGATACACATAAAAACCATTAATAATAATAATAATAATAATAATATATTTATTAATCATATATTAATAATATAATAAACCTGCACTTAATGTTTGTGAAATCTTTTTTGTACTCAAGGAAAAATACTATTACACTGCTAAAATAAAACAAATTTTAGTAAATAATACTAATATTAGGTAAAAGTACAAAGTACTCTTTTAAAAAGTACTAGTTGGTTACTTTTGAAAAAAAAATAATCAGATTTTCATTATGAAATCACTTTTTTTAAGTGTAAACCTGATTGAATGGTTTAATTGCTTAAATCTCAAAGCTACACGTATAGGAATTTGCACTAACAAAGGAAGTATGGTCGATTTTTCCTTTCATGACAATTAATCTTTTTTCAATAGCACTGGCAAAACTACCACACAAACTTTAAGGCCATAGAGACACTTTTTGCCCATTTTTAAACAATATTTTCAAGGTTTGAAAGGTTTAATTAAAGTATATGGTAAAAATATTTAAATTTAGCCTTTTATTTACATATTTTACACTATTTTTCTTTACAATATGGCAAATCTGTTTCTTAAATAGCTGTACATCACATGTTGATTTTATTTTACACTTGATCTTAATCTAAAATACAAAAAAAAAATAATACAAGTACACTGTCAGTAAAAAAAATAAATAAATGACTTCATTTTACTTGAAGTATTTGAAATATGACAACATTACATTTATCAAAGCAGTGCTTTAACACCCTTATTGTTAATTTTGATTAAAAAAAAACAATACGTAACAACGAATTGTTTTGACCTGCAATGCTTTAAGACAGATCAGAATACAGCTAAATGTATAAATCATACAAATACCTCATCCAGAAACATTTCCAGCATAATTCTTTTGTCGTAAAGAAATAAGTCCCCCTTTGCTAAAAGTAAGTTTCACTTCACAATACAGCCAAATAAGAAGACCATTTGCATTGTCATCGATCATGCATCAATAATTCTAAATATTTGATAACTTTGAATACTTTTGACTAAATTTAGTCAAGGAATAAAGATAAATAATGTCTACTTTAATAGTGGAGAGATCGCGATTGTATTCTATCTGAGCACACAGGCGATCCTGAGAGGACTTGCAGTTCATTTGAAAAAAGCTTATTTAAGAGCTCACATATCTGTTTTAGCGATTTGCGTACATGAATGCGCTCTCGTGTTAAAATAAAGCACTCGCCACATTTGCAGAAATGAGTAATTGCGCAATACCTCCATTCCCGCGCCGCCATTCAGAATGTATTTAGAGGAGTGACAGGTCAGAGGCGAGTCGACTCGCTGTCGGAGAGCGAAACGTGTATGAAGATCATCAAAAAGGCAGGAAATATGTCCGCGGTTTAATTACTCTGCTAGACATCTCTATAGTGAAAACATCCGAGAAGCATTATTCCAACAAAACATTTGTTTTTAAGTTGTTTTCTCTGTCTCTGTCTCTGCAACACAGAAAGCCTTTGTCCTGCCCTTACGTTTCACGCGACTAGAAAAGGTCGACTGTGATTGGCTACTTTTCATGTCAGTCAAATCACCCTTCAGAATCAATTCTTAAACTTCGGAAACTGATTTTCAGCAGCTTATGTCACAAAGCACTAAAATAAACATTCTAAGCACAGCGCTGTGATCGTACGCTTCACCAAGCAGACAATGCTGATCACATCGATGTTATATTACGCATCAAAGGATTAAAAGTGTTAATTGTTTCTTTCATTATTTGGCGATTCCTCCGCGTACCACTAGGAGGAAGCCCGCGTACCACTACCACAGTTTGAGAACCACTGGCCTAGAGCTTTTGGCAGTGTTCCTCGCTCTCCACCGCTTTTTACCGGTGCTGGAGCGGCAACACGTGCTGGTCAGGACGGACAGTACGGCGGTGTATATCAACCGCATGGGGGGTATGCGCTCTCGCCGCATGTCTCAGCTTGCCCGCCGTCTGCTTTTCTGGAGTCACCCGCGGCTGAAATCGCTGCGCGCCATTCACGTTCCAGGCATGCTCAATCATGCAGCCGATGCGCTCTCACGACAGCTGTTACGCCCTGGAGAATGGAGACTCCACCCCGAGTCTGTACAGCTGATATGGGCGCGATTTGGGGAGGCCCAGATCTATCTGTTTGCTTCCCCCGAGAACGCTCATTGCCAGTTGTTTTTGTCCCTGACCGAGGGCTCTCTCGGCATGGATGCACTGGCCCACAGCTGGCCTCAGGGCATGCGCAAGTATGTGTTTCCCCCAGTGAACCTGCTCGCGCAGTTACTGTGCAAGGTCAGGGAGGACGAGGAACAGGTTCTGCTAGTTGCACCCCTTTGGCCCAACCGGACCTGGATATCAGAGCTCCCACTCCTCGCGACGGCCCTCCCCTGGAGAATCCCTTTGAGAGAGGACCTACTCTCTCAGGGACAGGAAACCATCTGGCACCCTCGCCCTGATCTTTGGAACCTCCACGTGTGCTCCTTAGACACGAGGAAGACTTAGGTAACCTACCGACTGCGGTGGTTAATACCATCACTCAGGCTAGAGCCCCCTCCACGAGGTGCGCCTACGCCCTGAAGTGGAGTCTATTCACTGAATGGTGCATCTCTTGCAGAGAAGACCCCCGAAACTGCCAGATCAGTATTGTGCTCTCTATCCTTCAAGAGAAGCTGGACAGCAGGCTGTCGCCCTCAACTCTCAAGGTTTACGTGGCCGCCATCTCCGCTTATCATAACGCGGTAGCTGGCGAAACCGTGGGAAAGCATAACCTCATCATCCGGTTCCTTAGGGGCGCTAGGTGAATTAATCCATCTCGCCCCCCTTTCATGCCCTCTTGGGATCTCGCCCTCGTTCTCACGAGTTTACGAGCAGATCCCTTTGAGCCACTCGATTCAGTATCTCTAAGATTTCTGTCCCTGAAGACAGCTCTGCTGGTCGCATTGGCCTCCATCAAGAGGGTCGGAGACCTGGAGGCATTTTCCGTCAGTGACTCATGCCTGGAATTTGGGCCGGATTACTCTCACGTCATCCTGAGACCCCGCCCGGGTTATGTGCCCAAGGTTCCTACCACCCCCTTCAGAGATCAGGTAGTGAACCTGCAATCGCTGCCCCCGGAGTAGGCAGACCCAGCCCTTTCTTTACTTTGTCCAGTTCGCGCTCTGCGCATTTATGTGAACCGTACTCAGAATTTTAGATCATCTGAGCAGCTCTTTGTCTGTTATGGCGTATCGAAACAAAGATTATGCCACTGGATTGTGGATGCCATTTCACTCGCTTATTCGAGTCGAGGTCAGCCGTGTCCCCCGGGAGTGCGTGCACACTCCACTCGGAGCGTTGCATCCTCTTGGGCGCGTGCACGCGGCGCCTCTCTAACAGACATCGTTAGAGCTGCGGGCTGGGTGACACCCAACACATTTGCAAGGTTTTACAATATGCGAGTGGAGCCGGTTTCCTCAAGGGTATTAGGTAACCCTTTGGTGATTGAGGAAACAACTAGGTAGGGTGTTGAGACACGCTTGCTGCGCCATTTTCCCTAACACGGAGATACGTGCGCCTTTTTATCTGTCAGTAAAGTTCCCTGTTAGGTGAGCCCTGCAGATTCCACCGTGGCCCCCAGCACTGACTCAGCGGAGAAGTCACTTGCTGGCCCACTACGTTGTAGGTCTGCCCGCTGGTCAGCCCACGTTTTGGGTATTGGTGCCTGGTATGCGTGATCCCCACTAGGCGATCCCATATGCTTATTCCGCCACGGTTAAGTCCCCCCCTGGGTGGACCCGTGTCTTCCCTCTCCGCTAACCACTTTTTTGCTATGCGTACTCCCCCTTTTTAGGGCTAGTCCATATGTAAATTCTGCCATCTATCCCCCCTTGGGTAACGGATGGCCTCCGCAGCGTCCTCCCTATCGGGATTGCACGCTTCCCAACATACTGTTATATTTTCCTAGAATTATTTAGTTGCTCACGACTTCCCAAAAAATATATCTAAATCCGTAAGACTTCTGTTGAAGTAAGATAAATTAGGGCCAGGGACACGTTGGAGGACCGCGCTTCCCATGATGTGGGTGCATCACGCTTGCTTGACTATCCCCTCATCAGGGGCGTTGGTAAGGTGCAGTCAGTACGGCGCTTTCCATAGTTCTCCCATACACGGATTTTCCCAAAGATCAAATCCACTGTATAGCACTGAAGTTCCCCAACCGAAGGGGAACGTTCAAGGTTACAGAAGTAACCCTTCATTCCCCAAAGAGGAGAACGGAAGTGCTTTACTCCGTCGCCATAATGACTGTCCCTTAGCTGTTTGAAAGTCTCTTCAGCTTAAAAGGATGGCGTCTGCTCGCTCCAGGTGTGCTTATATGCTGGGATAATTGGCAATGCAGCACACCTGCGCAAGCTTACGCTGCCAATTCATTTCATTCATTGGCCCGTTCAATACTCTTCAGACAAGCGGCTTCTGATCTGAAACCTCCCATACATGGATTTTCCCAAAGATCAAATCCACTCTATAGCACTTCCGTTCCTCTTCTCGGGGAACGAAGGGTTATTTCTGTAACCTCGAACGTTTTGCAGCACAAACATGGAGTGGGGTCTTCATCTTTAAGTAAAAAGGCGTGAGTTAATCTTGTATGCCCAATAAGATATCTGGTAAAAATCACTTGATCAAATCGAGTCTTAAAATGTCTTAAAATTCTGTTTGAGATTTCAGGTTGGATTTCATGTAATTTATTATTTTCCAATGCATCCCACTCCTCTTGCCACTTATTTAAAATATAAAACTTGATAAAAAGGTCTCATCTCAGATGGAGGAATTTGGTATTTGTTCACAACTTGCTTCAAGGCATCTTTAGCAGCTGCATCAGCTCGCTTTAAAAACTGTTTAGTACAGCGCTTACCTAACTTTGTGATCAGTGTTTGCATTAGATTCAGGTGGATAATGCATTGAGTAGTCACTCCTCATGGGCACACGGCGGGGCTGTGGAGGGTTCTCTCTGTACCTTAAGGAGGAACACAACAAACAAATATAATCCAAACACTCCTACATTCATTACTACTGTTATTCATTACTTTTTCTATGTTCCAAGTCTGAAACAAACAAACAAACAAACAAACAAACAAACAAACAAACAAACAAACAAGCAAACAAACAGACAAACAATCAAAAACTGTTTAGTACAGCGCTTACCCAAATTCAGAATCAGAGTATCCACTAGATTTAGAATCAGTGTATTCACTAAATTTAGGTGGATAATGCATTGAGCGGTCACTCCTCATGGACACACTGCGGGGCTGTGGAGGTTTCTCTCTGTACCTTAAGGAGGAACACAACAAGTTCAAGTTAAAGTTCAATTTATTATATAGCACGTTTCCAACTGCCACAAGCAGGCCTGGATTAAAAACTCAGGGGCCCCTGGGCACAATGTCTTGTAAGGCCCCCTAACCGGCTGCACCCCAATAGTTGAATTAAAAAATAAGAATAATACAATAATTTTTAAATAAAATGAATCTATACTTTGTTGCCCACATATTTAAATAAATGATATATACTACATATATATTTATACTCTACAAAGATTTTACTTATTTTTCAAATCATTGAATAAAAATACTAATAAAGCTAGTGAAAATTCATGTTTTTTAGTATACTTGTTCAAGTTCACTGAAACAGTCCTATATATAGTATAGTATTGTTATAAATATATATATATATATTTTTTAAGGGTGTTTTTAATGTATAACTTTTACAAACTTATAAAGCATATTATTGGCATGGCATATAACACACAATGCCTCTCCAATCTAGTTTTATGAGTCTTTCATAATACACACACTTATTAATGATTTACTGTCTCTCTCCTCCTCTCCCTGTATTTTCTCTACTCTTCTTGTGATGAAGAGTAGGCAAACAGCAAAGATCAACTTGATTATAAACCTGAAGTATCCAAAATCACACATACTATACCTCTTATCTCCCGTCTCTCTCTTCTTTAGGGCCTTTCTCTCTCTTTCTCTCCTTTTTCTGTTTTCTCTCTGATATGATGAATCCTGTCCTCGTTTCACTGCCGTTAGCCTACTCCGCCTGGTTAATGCTAGCTCACTCATTTAACGTTACCATAATGTCTTCTTCTAAACCTTCATTCTCCTGATCATGGGTTAAGAGCGATTTGACTCAATCAAATTGGCAAAATAAGCAGCTTTTGCTTGCTTCATAGCTAACTGATAAGAAATCAAAGCAGATCTGAAAAGTTGAAGAGAGATGGTATGTCTGTCCTTTTTCCATTTACGTTCAGCCTGTCTATATTTTTGTTTTAAAGTGCGTGTCTCTAATGTTTTCCAAGGTTCAGTTTTTGCAGCAGTGCAGCAGATAAAGATGTTGTTCAGCATCTAGTTCTGATAAGGGGAGATCTAGGCGCGATTTGACGTAGAAATCGATGTCGAAGGCATCCAACAGGTTGATGAAATCTTGAGCAAAAGAGTTAGATTGACGGCAAATGTGAATATTAAAATCGCCTACTAGTATGAAACAGTCGCAAGAAATTGTCATGTTGCCGATGAGTTCAATGAAGTGCTCAATGAAGTGCTTGATGAACAAGCAAATATAATCTAAACACTCCTAATTTTATTACTACTGTTATTCATAACTTTTTCTATGTTCCAAGTCAAAAACGGTAAACAAACAATCAAACACTGTTTAGTACAGCGCTTACCTAACTTTGTGATCAGTGTTTGCATTAGATTCAGGTGGATAATGCATTGAGTGGTCACTCCTCATGGACACACGGCGGGGCTGTGGAGGTTTCTCTCTGTACCTTAAGGAGGAACACAACAAACAAATATAATCCAAACACTCCTACATTCATTACTACTGTTATTCATTACTTTTTCTATGTTTTAAGTCTGAAACAAACAAACAAACAATCAAAAACTATTTAGTACAGCGCTTACCTAACTTTGTGATCAGTGTATTCACTAAATTTAGGTGGATAATGCATTGAGCTGTCACTCCTCATGGACACATAGCTGGGCTCGGGAGGGTTCGGTCTGTACATTGAAGAGGAATATAACGAGCCAATATAAACAACATATTCATCACAGTAGTACTGACCCAAGGGGACCAAATTGCAACATGTACACAGAGACTTTTGTGGTGTTTCTCAGTTCTGCTAAACTCCTGGTTTACTTGAATATTTCATGTGAAGCTGCTTTGACAATCAACATTGTAAAAGTGCTATACAAATAAAGCTGAACTGAAGTGAAATTGAATTGTTATTTTGTCGTTTGTCTGTAAATGTGTGTAAATAAGTGTGTTTTCTGTAAATGTTCCTGTATTGAATGTTAAGGGGCCTAGGTTATATAACAGCCTTAGTTTTATCCCTCCTCAGAGTAAAACTGAAATGATATTCCAATCCTAGACTAGTCGTCAAATAGACAGATTACACAGACTTTATATGTGTAGTCGCTCATTTCTGTTTAGTTGATGACTAGTCTAGTTTTGGCCAATTCTTAGACGTTCATTAGATTTTCACTTACAGCCCAAATGTAGTCTTTTTTTAGCCAAGACGATAATGTTTAGATGTCTATTAAACATCTGTTATGACTTAAATTGATATATAACTGCAAGAGTGATTAATTAATGCTCAATTTATTGTTTAATTGTCATAAAATGAATTTGTTTACCTTGGCATTTATATATGCTGTTTTGCTTTAAAAACAGTTTAACCTACGATGCTTAGCGCTACTGAAAGCGCGCCTGTAACCATTGGCAACTGACTCAGTGTGAGAGAGTGTGTGTGTTCGGAGTTTCGCTCCTATTTCAGTATACAGAAAACTTCAGTAAACAGTTCATTTTCATTCTAAACAAAGTTTTTCAGTCGTCATTATTTCTGCTAGATGAAAAGACAGAACAACATCTATTAAAAACTAAAAAAATGCTTGCTGGGATGTGTGTCATTGCTTCTTTTGTATGCCAAGTTATTGGTTTTCTCAGGATCTTCTGGCACATTCAAGAGGTCACAGAGACATGTGGAACTGGACCTTTGATGCTACTTGAACAACAGTCACTAGATGTGAATGGTCTTAGCTATCTTTGTTTTAGTCTGCTACGTTTAGTACAAGAAACGGTCTTGAGTATAAAACAGACTGTACCTTGTATGTGTGCTCTCTTTTTTATGGCTCATTTTTACAGGTATGAGGTCTGCTCTGAATAACTCACTGGCTGTCTGAACTTTGTATGCTTGACACCTTAGTAATCATTGGAGATATTGTTCGGTACTGTAGGCACACATGAAAAGTCCAGGGGCCTCATGTACAAAGACTTGCGTTGAATTCATACTAAAACATTGCGTACACACAAAGCTGTGAATGTTTTCATCAGCAGCGTGAGTGGCGTAGCTCATAAAGCGCACAGCAACACGTTTTGACACTATCATTCATGAACCCGGTTTGAATCCAGCGTCTGATCAACTCATTCTTCTTTCCTACTCTTCATCATGAGGAAGACAAGTAGTAGTATCATTAATAAGTACTAGTATCATTAATAAGTACTAGTATCATTAATAAATGTGTGAATTATGTTAAGCGCATTTGAGCATCACATACTATTTGCAGATTTATTGAATTGAAATGTTTTTGATTCACGTATGCAAATTCGTCTTTAGATGGTGCTTTTAGAGCAATGTGTGTGCAGTCGAACGCTCCGATTACATTGGAAAAACTGGCGATCGATGCAAATTGCGTTTTAATGTTTGGCTGGTCAACTGCATGGTATGGACACCTTATATACCTGCTAGACATGCCGATGATCCCATGTCACGGTTGCAGGTTTGTGCGCTTTTCCGGAGTGTATGTTTGATCACGTGGGTTTGTTTTGTTTTGGTTGTCCATGTGTATTTGTTATGCTCACGTGACATGACGACACTCAGCGGGGCTGATTACACACCAGCTGAGGCTCATTATTAGCCCTATATCAGGGCGACGTTTCTATGTTTCTTTGTCAGTTCGTTACATCTGTTCTCATGTGTGTCATCTGTGCACAGGCCCCTGAGGAGAATTTTCTGGACCCTGTTTTCCTGTCTGTTCCTGCCCTGTGTTCGTCGTCCTCCTAGCCTGTCACTTTCTTTGTTTGTTTATTTTGACTTGGTCAAATAAACTTTATCACTTGCACTTGGATCCTCTTTGACTCTTATTTTTGAACGTGACAGAACGAACTGACCTTATTATGGATCCAGCGAGTGCATCCCAGATCTCCGAGTTCGTCTCGCACAGCAACGCCAGGATAGACCGTCAGGATGAGGCTTTGGCCACCACGTCACAGGCGATCCAGGCTCTGGTCGGCCAAGTGTCGCTGCTTACCTCCCAAGTCCAACAGTTGATCACTGGAGCTGCACAGGCTGACACTGCACCGACTCCGGAGGTGACACCACCAGCGCCTGCGGTTGTTGGTCGCTCTGTTGAACCGCGCCTTCCACCCCCGACCTGCTACTCTAGGGAGCCCCTCTTGTGTCGATCCTTTTTGTCCAAGTGTTCCCTTTATATTACGCTGCAGCCATCATTGTTTGCCACCGAAAAATCCAAGGTAGCGTTTGTCATCACGCTTCTTTCAGGCAAGGCGGCCCAATGGGGAACTACAGCATGGGAACAAAAGCTACCATGCTGTGCTACCTTCGACCTGTTCTCCAAAGAGTTAAAGAAGGTCTTTGATCGAGCCGCTTCCAGGAGAGAGGCTGCCCGAGTTCTCGCTGAACTCCGCCAGGGGAATCGGAGCGTGGCGGAGTACTCAATAGAGTTCCGGACCTTAGCCGCTGAATGCGGCTGGAACGCGGAGGCGCAATGGGACATGTTTTTGCACGGATTATCTGACCGGCTTCAGGATGAGATATATTCGTTAGATCTTCCTAAAACTCTTGACGGGCTAGTTGACTTAGCCATCCGGGTTGACACTAGACTGCACCGTCGAGAGAGTCGCCTGCAGCAAGGCGGGTTTTCGGAGCACGTCCCTGACTTTCCGGCCGTGGCTGCGACACCGGAAGTGGTAAACGTTGACCCGGAACCCATGCAGGTGGGTAGATCCCGCTTGTCCGTGCAGGAGAAGCGCCGACAGAGATAGGAGGGACTCTGCCTCTACTGTGGTGGGGCGGGTCTTCGGGTGGCTTCCTGTCCCGTAAAAGACAACACCCATCAGTAGGTAAGAGGTTACTGATGGGTAAAAATTAATATGGACAAATCCTCTGCGTCTGCTACTTTACTGCCCGTCTCTTTATCATGGGGTTCCGGAACTCATAACACACAGGCGCTCGTCGATTCCGGGGCGGAAGGAAACTTCATTGACTCTAGTTTCGCTTTCAGTTTCAAACTTCCGGTTATAGCACTATCACAACCCATTGCAGTACGCGCACTCAGTGGACTTTCCCTTCCCACTATCACCCACTCCACCAAACCCATAAAACTCATTACGTCTGGAAATCATGTTGAACACATTTCATTTTTTTTAACAGACTGTTCCAACTCACCGGTGGTTTTAGGTCATCCTTGGTTGTTTCTGCATAAACCCCACATTAATTGGGGCCTTAATTCTATATTCTCGTGGAGTGAGAAATGCCATGAGTCTTGTCTTTCGTCTGCTCGTTCTGCTGTTTCTTGTTCTGTGTTTCAGGAGGAGCGCATGGACCTGTCAAACGTGCCCAGTGAGTACCTCGACCTGAAGAGAGTGTTCAGTAAGTCTCGAGCTGCTTCTCTGCCTCCTCACCGTCCCTATGACTGTGCAATAGACTTATTGCCAGGTACGTCTCCGCCTAAAGGCAAGTTATACTCTCTTTCTATTCCTGAGAGGGAGGCCATGGAGAAATATATTTCTGATTCTCTAGCGGCCAAGATCATACGGCCCTCTTCTTCACCGGCGGGGGCGGGGTTCTTTTTCTTGAAAAAGAAGGATGGGTCTCTTAGACCCTGCATAGACTATCGAGGGCTGAACAGCATCACGGTGAAGAATACGTATCCTTTGCCGTTGATGTCTTCAGCGTTCGAGCGTCTGCAGGGGGCTTCGTTTTTCACGAAATTAGATCTCCACAACGCATATCATTTGGTTCGCATGAAGCAGGGCCATGAGTGGAAGACTGCGTTTTTGACCCCCAGGGGGCATTTTGAATATTGTGTTCTTCCGTTCCGGCTTTCTAATGCTCCTGCTGTTTTCCAAGCACTCGTAAATGACGTGTTGCGAGACATGATAGATCAGTGTATTTATGTCTACCTGGATGACATTCTGATTTTTTCTCGTTCTCTCCAGGAACATGTGCAGCACGTCAGGCGAGTGCTTCAGCGGCTGCTAGAGAATGGGCTTTTTGTCAAGGCGGAGAAATGTGTGTTCCGTGCACAGTCTGTTCCCTTTTTAGGACACATTGTGTCAGTCGAGGGGTTGCGCATGGATCCAGAGAAGGTTCAGGCTGTGGTAAATTGGCCAATTCCGGAGTCTCGTAAGGCCCTGCAGAGATTTCTGGGCTTCGCTAATTTTTACCGGCGTTTTATTCGCAATTTCAGCCAGCTCGCCGCCCCTCTGACGTCCTTAACCTCCGCCAAGACTCCCTTCAGGTGGTCAAGTGTAGCACAGGCTTTATTCACTAAACTGAAAGGCTGTTTTGTTTCAGCGCCCATTCTGGTGACACCTGATCCAGCCCGGCAATTCGTAGTGGAGGTTGACGCGTCAGAGGTGGGGGTGGGCGCTATCCTGTCCCAGCGCGCCGCCTCGGATGACAGAATTCATCCGTGCGCGTTTTTCTCACATCGATTATCTCCCGCAGAACGTAATTACGACATTGGTAATCGGGAGTTGTTGGCTGTCAAACTCGCATTGGAGGAATGGCGTCACTGGTTGGCGGGTTCGGGGGTTCCCTTTATCGTTTGGACCGATCATAAGAACCTCGAATACATCAGGTCTGCCAAACGAATTAACTCCAGGCAGGCTCGGTGGGCATTATTCTTCGGAAGTTTTGACTTTACCATTTCTTATCGGCCGGGTTCCAAAAACACCAAACCCGACGCGTTATCCC